GTTTTAACATGAAATTAATAATAAGAATAATTTGTTGTTTATAATATTATTTTTCTATTAAAGTATTTTTACTAAAATTTAGGTTAATGAAAAATCAATTAATGAATTCGTTTGCCGTAAATTTATGGAAAAACTATTTCTTTAATTTTAATATTATTCTTTTTTTTATTCCGAATCCTTAATTTTCGCCATTTGTTTTCAGCCGAAATTAAAGAGAAAATATCTTGTTAGTTTAATTGACATAAAACAAATTTGTATTTATTCAGATTATGTCCTCAACAGCTTTTTAATTGAGCTGTTAAAATACAATTTATTTTGCATACCAAATTAACTTTTTCACCTGAGTTTATAATAAATACATGAAAAACTGATTTTTTAATATAAACTCATTTTGTTTTATTAATACAAATTTCAAATTGAAATTTATTTACAAAAATTTCTAATTAAATTAAAAAAGTGAAGGATACTCATGTCAACTTATTTAATTTAAAATTTTATGAAATTAAATTATATAAATGTATATTTCTTCAATTAATTTCCACTAAATTAAAGTAAATTTGAAAATCTTTGACATTTTTATTAAACCTGGCACATAAACAATCTAAACTTTAACGAAGACTTAACCCGTAAATATTAGACACCCTGTATATACTATATACCATATATATAATCTTATATGAAACACACGAACAAGCCACATCAACAATCGTTGAACACATTAACCAAAAACGAAGCAGAGAACTACCACCCACAGCTGCTCCCCGCACAAATGGCTTAAGAATCCCCGAAAATCCATCCAGTGCACCTCAAGGAGCGAATTTTGTTTTGTCGCTTGGCTCAACTCTTTTGCCATTTGCAGGACTCACCGCGCGGCGAAGCGGATGGCCAATCCTTCATCTTTCCCGCCATTGTGGAGACGAGCGTCGGCAGCACCAATGTGGCATCCACCAGCAGCAGCAGCAACAATGACAACAACGACAGCAACAACTCCATCAGCACCAGGCGCAGCAACAATCACCTGACACTGAGAACGGAACGTCGCAGCTCCCTCTACTGTGATACCCTGCACGCTGGCGACTCGGGCATCGACTCAGTACAGGCCTCGCCCTCGCCCAATGCATTCATTGCACCACCGGGCGTACACGGTCTGCCCGGCGGCCATTCGGGCGGCCGGTCATGCCATGTGTCRCCCACGAGCACGCCCACCCAGGGCTCGCCGAATCTATCGCTGGGTCGCCGGCACATGCGAAACAGCATCTGTGTGGTGCCCAGCGGCGGTGCGGCCAATTATCGRCGTAAATCAAGCGCGCTACTGCATCCGGATCATGCTCGATTGTTTGCGCTGCGGATGAAGCATGCGGCTGCATTGGAACGRGCGCAAACATCGCCGGATCAGACRTCGATTGAGGATGCGAATGAGTTTCATGACAATGGACTGGCCACCAATATGCGTTTGTGCTCTGCCTCGTCGTCGACGACGTCGTCGCTGACATCCGTGGCAGCGGTCAGCCTGGGCGGGGGTGTGGCAGCTGCCAGTGGTGGTGGCAGCAGTGGCGGCATTGCCACCGCCAGCAGCGGCGCCTGCTCCTCCTCCGCTTATGCTGTCGGCGCGGCGGGCGCACAGCAGCGAGTCTCCGATCCCTGGCTGCAGCCACAATCCGATCGTGACTCGCGACACGGCCATCAACACGACGGCCGACGGCGTTCATCGACAATGACCGCCCGCTATTCGCTCTTCGATGCACTCGATCTGGAGTACGTGCTGCTCCGGGCGGCGGCTCGCGGCTCTGTGGGTCCCTACTCGCTCAGCGAGTCCATACACAAACTGACCTTCACACAGTCGCTGGCATTTCCAGCGCTGGCGCGCGGTCTGGCCACCAAGCGCCGGAGATCGGCTACGCACACCAGTTCCAGGCCGCTAAATCCGCACGAATCGGGCTTGAATACGTGCGCCAAGGTTGTTACCGCTGTCGTCCTGGTTGCCATCTCCTTTATGGTATTTCTCATAGTGTACAAATTTGTGCGCACGTGAGGTTTGCTCCTGGCCCCGACGCCAGACTTCTCCGTCACATATCAGACGACCACCAGGGACGAGGTGGA